CGCCGTCACCCCCGGTGCCCCCCGCACCCGCCGCCGTGGTCCCGCGCTGCCCGGCTCTGCCGGGTACGGCGATGTTTTACAAAACGGAAGCCCCTACACCCATTTATTTTTGTGAAACGCCGTGGGACCTACGGACTGATAAAACCTGTTCGTTATAAAAATTTAAAAAAAAAGAGGCGACCAAATAGTCTCGCACCTGCGGTGCTTTGGTCTTTGCACTCTTCTTCTGCACACCGGATAGGGAAATTGATGATTGGTTTGATTTTTTTTATAAATTTATAGTTTACCAAATAGTCTCGCACCTGCAGTGCTTGGGTCTTTGCACTCTTCTTCTGCACACCTGATAGGGAAATTGATGATTAGTTTGATTTTTGTTATAACTTTATAATTTAATTTTGTTACGTAGCTTTGTAGCCATGTCGAGGCAAGGGTTAAATACTGACATTTAGTTCAGTTTTGTGTTTTGTTCTTTGTAACGTGGCTAACAAGGGCTGCTGTGAGCTCAAAAATAGATAACAAGTTGGCAACATCAGCTCAGCCGCAGCATCAGTTCAGCCCTAACGAAGGCACTGATACCAAGGATTTATTGTCTGAAAGACGGAGCCATCTGGACTCTTATCACTTGGAAGAAACAACCATCCGGTAAGAACTGGCCTTGTTGTTTGGGATTCAGCCAACATAATAGTTTTTGAGCGAAAGGTGAAAAGTACACCGTGGCCTTCCCCGATGACCACCCGAGACAACCACCGGAATACACTGCGCAGGCGTGAGCAGGAGATGCCGGGGCGTAGAACGTGGTAATGATTTCCCCGAACTGATTGCAATAATCCCTCCCTATTCTCGGAAATACAATGAATATGTAACCAAGAATAATGCATATGCAATGCTTTGCAGTATATAAGGGGGTCGTTGAGACCCCAGGGTGTGCAAGGTCGGTGGAGCGATCCCCCTTGCACTCGGGGCTGTAATAAACATACCTGCTTTATAACGCCCCGTGAGTTGTAGGGTTTGTTTCCGCGCGTCACACCCTTCTGCATTGCTTTCGGTTTTCACTGGCAGTATATAAGGGGGTTGTTGAGACCCCAGGGTGTGCAAGGTCGGTGGAGCGATCCCCCTTGCACTCGGGGCTGTAATAAACATACCTGCTTTATAACGCCCCGTGAGTTGTAGGGTTTGTTTCCGCGCGTCACACCCTTCTGCATTGCTTTCGGTTTTCACTGGAATCTAGTTCCACTTTCCTGTTGGCCAGATGCTGTGATGAAATAGAATGTTTGACCCATGTCCACCCAAAAAAAAAGTTAATAAAAATCCTCTGTCAGCAGCAAGAAAAAAAACCCAACTCCTTTCTATCCTGTCTTGACCGAAAAAGCAAATGTCATATCCCATATGTGAGCATCTAAATGCTGATTTTCCTATTATTTCGGCAGCGGGAGTGCATGGAATACTGGGCTTTTTATTACAGCTACATTAATTGCAACACAGGCACTAGCAGAGTTACCGCCCACAGAAACTTCCTCAGCAAGAAACGCAAGCATTAAAGCCACAGTAGCCATACTAACTCAGCCGAAGCACGCTGCACGCAAACATACCTTCCTGTACGTTACACGGTGCTGAATTTCACAGTGTAAGCAGAATTACGCAGGGCTGTGTTTGTGAACACGCACAGAGCGGTACTAGAGGTGAGAGACATCTACAGTGAGTAGTTTTACTACTATTAATGCATATTCTTACGCGGACGGGGTCAAATGAACGCTGCTGCTGCTGCTGGCAAAAAGAGCCTTTTAGGTTTTCTGGCTCTTTTTTTCCCCAATATTTTCTAGCTTTCAGCCCGTCTGAACCACGGCCAGGTGGTAAGCATAACCATAACACACATCGAGAATGTAACGGTGCCGTAACATCAGGACGCTACATCTTTATTATTTTTCCAGGACACAGCGAGTCAAATCCACTAGTAACAAATACACACATACACACAGACACATCCCAGGTGTGACCACCTCACCAAGGAGGTACAGCCCCTCAGTGCTGCACAACGTTTCATGCAGAGAAGGCTCAGCTACAAACGCACCGTAGCATTTTCTTCCTCTTCTCCTCCTTTATAATTTCAAGACAGTTAAAGGAACTCGCCTTATGCAACACGGACTGGAGCACCAAGTGGATGGATGTCCTTTATTTGTCATGTTGCCCCCACAAAAAGCATAAAGGGAAATGTTCCTTCTAAACAAGCAAGGATTTAAAAGTTGATTTAAAAGTTGATTTTAAATCAAAGATAGAATCTTTGATTTAAAAGTTTGTCAGGATTTGGGGGACAGGCGGACCCCATAGCATCCAGAAAAGGAGTACATAAAGAGAAATGTTCCTTCTAAACAAGCAAAAGCATTCTTTGATTTAAAAGTCTGTCAGGATTTGGGGGACAGGCAGACCCCATAGCATCCAGAAAAGGAGTAGTTTTACAGTCTGATAAACCTTTTACATGTTTTTTGACACCATAACTGAAAGCAGGAAGGTACTACCATTTTTTCTTCTTTTTTTCTTTCTTTAAACCATAATCATAGAATCATAGAATTGTTTGGGTTGGAAGGCACCTTAAAGATCACCCAGTTCCAACCCTCAAATATAACAAGCCTTCTGCTTTGTGAAATCCAGAATTTTTTCTGATTTAAAAACATAATAATTGCTATCTTATTCATGTTATACAAAATCTCAAAAATTAAAGCTCACACCTCATTTGTCATTCATGCTGCCTTAAAAACGCAAGAGTGTATCTAACGGTAACCCTACACCGTAAAGGGTTCCATCCCATTTTTCTGCTCAAGCAGTCAGTGGTGATACACTGGAAAGTGTACAGTGGAGTCAAGGAATTAGTGATACATGTATCAAATATTTTATTCTTTTTGTATTTCACAAAGTTCAAACAGCAGAGTATGCTTGACATCCTGCTTCCAGAGAGCTATCAAATCTCTGTTTGAATTCTCAGAGAGATTAGGCAGAAACAAACATACCGATAATTAATTTCTCCCGAGAGCGCCAGTGCCATCTTTAGCCTAATTTCATTTACTGGTCTTCATAAAATATATTGTCACGCTGCAAATTTTGCCTTCGACTTTTATTCAAACAGTATCAGCTGTGATTTTATGCTTGACTTCTCCTAAAATGTGGACTTATACCACGGATGTTTTCCTTTTAGCTGGAAGGGCAGTGTGCAAGTTCATACGCCGAGGGCTAAGCCACCCTTTCATTACAAAGGAAGCAAAGAGGCTGTTGAGGTGTCACTTAGCTAATACTGAAAGGGCTACACAACTTTTCTAAGTGAAAGAGGTGATTAAACCGGAATGATTTAGCTACTCATACACAGGTCCTGCTTACGTGGCGACACTCAGTAATTCTCCCAGCGTGAGACCCAGGATAACCCACACTATATCTGAAGATCAGTGGGGGCATGCCTGCTGCTGGCATTGCTTGACAGCGACACTCGCCTGGACAGAGAGAAAGGCCGAGGGCTGCCGCAGTTTCTACTTTGTTTAGAGTCCGAGCTCCCTTCCCCTGTGGAGTCAGGAGTGTCCGGTCGGCTGGAGTTTTTCACATCAGCGCTGTAAGGAGGTTGGGCTTTGTTTGCGCTGAAACTGCTCTGTCTTCTGCTGCTGTTCTTTGGGAGATAATTCGTTGAAGCTCCTGCGCTCTCCGCCGCTGCTGAGTAGTTCCACAACGAACCGATTCCGTGCTGTCTTCTCAAACTGGTAACAGAACAAGCTGTATCAGGCTGCAGTGAATTTTGAGACGGCATTTCAGCAAAGCTTTTCAAGCACGTGCTCCAAGCTGTCTCCGCATTCTGAGTACCAACATGGACATGTTTCTTTTCGGCTTCTTTCGGAGCATCCCGCGCTTCCGTCCCAAGCTCGCCAAGCAAGCTTTCGTTATTGTTTGTGCTAGTATTTTGAGTGTGACTGTCGAAATTTGTAGCTGGCCTCCTCTTTGGCAGTTTATTTTCCTGATTGAGATGGGTGTAATTGCTGCTGCTTTCTGTACGGTTATTTGGCACAGCCTGAAACATGGGAGGAGAATTTAGAACCGGGTAGATGGCAGCGTCACTTTGCTTCTCTATTAAAAAAGTGTAACTGCTAAGGGCAGAAGGAAGAGTCTTTTGAGGGGTGGTGGATATTCCCAACGACGAGCGTGGTATCACGGAGTACTTCTTAGATTTGTTTATGTAGAAATTGTCAAGGTCATCCTTGGTTTTATCCTGCCCACAGAGCCCCATTTTAATTTTTCGGAATCCTAGGTGGACAATTTCTAGGATATTTAAAAGCAACGATACAGTTGCTATCGACTGCATGAATAATATGAACACTGTCTTTTCTGTTGGTCTAGACACAAAGCAGTCAACTGTGTTGGGACACGGGTCCCTCTGGCATTTATAAAGGGGATCTAGGTGAAAGCCATAAAGGAGATACTGCCCGATCATAAATCCGATTTCCAGTGCGGACCTGGTGAAAATGTGTATCACATAAGTGCAGAGCAAAGAGCCTCTCAGGGGTGCTTTGTTTAGCTTTCTTTGCTCCAGCTGCCGGAGTTCTCTCTCCAACCGCTTCCGGCTTTCAGTCATTTCTAGTTCAGTGCTTTCAAGTTCCACCCTTACCTGAGCTTTCTTTTTCTGCCTCTCTTTTTCCAAGGCTCTCAGTCTGTACAGGGCATGACCCATATACACCAAGGAAGGGGAAGAGACAAATATAACTTGCAAGACCCAGTATCTTATGAGAGAGATGGGAAAAGCCTCATCATAGCACACGTTTCTGCAACCGGGTTGCTCAGTATTGCATATGAATTCTGACTGTTCATCGTTCCAAACATCCTCGGTTGCCACCCCAAGGACAAGCATTCGAAATATGAAGAGGATCGTTAGCCAAATCTTTCCAATAATAGTGGAATGAATGTGGACTTCCTCTAAAATGCCTCCGAGGAAATTCCAGTCTCCCATGGTTATTCTGCCACCTTAACGCTAAAACGTATGAGAGAAAACGGTATCAAACATTGTAAAAGCTGCAGTCCTCCCTTAGTGCATTATGAATAAAACGACCCTGGGAAAAACCATCGCATCTCACACTGTAACCATGGCAACATGCCCCACTGCTCCTCAATAATCTAGCTATTATTCCCTGTCGTCTAAAAGATGGAGAAGAGCATTATCCGCCCGTGTCTACTTTATCAGTAAGAGACATCCTGATAGGCACATCACTGTGGGGTATTAAGTACCCTCAGTCTGCACCCAGCCAGTGGAAACCGAGGTGCCTTGGCTTGCAGTAGGATTTTAAGACCATCATGCAGTCTATCTGAACCACCATGCGAAGGTAGAGGAGTATTTCCCAGTCCTCCTTTTCAGAAGTTCCAAGCCCCATGTCGCAGCTGACGTTACAGTTATGTCCAATTACTGTTTCGCAGCAAAAATGGGTTATACAAAGGAACTCGAGAGGGAAAGAAACATCTTGTTAAGGTTGCATTGTTACATTCCAAAACACGTTTAAGTATATAATTTGGCTTGTATACGTTTATAATTTATACTTATAACATATAAGTATATAATTTGGCTTGTATATGTTTATAATTTATACTTATAAAAGTATATAAATTGGCTTATAAACATGGACGTTTGCTTTTTGTTTGCAGATGTGGAGAATAAGTAAGCAGAATCACCACAATCAATCAGACTCCTGCATCTGAAATACAGAATGGAGTGCCTCAGTGTCAAGCGTTGCTATCTTTGGCCCCGATCTGGTGAAAAATAAATTACTTACGCACAAATCCTCTACCAGCATTTTCCTAAATGATTGTTATGTGAGTAGAGATAAACGGGCAATGTGTGTGTGTAACTGCACATCTTGCCCCTCTGTAGGTTTGTTTCTTTCCCTGTTACAGGATATGACGCTGTGGACAAGATTTTAAATCCCTTTTCAGCATCTATGCTATTGCTTACATTAACAGAAATCTTTTCTATGTGCGTGGATAACCCCCAGGTCTGTAGATTTACATTGTATGTACGGTACAATTCCATAGAACTCGGTCATACTAAAACCAGAATAATCTGGGTGGGGTGTTTTTTTGGTAAATGGTGGTTTAACACAGTGTTTTATGTTCACATGGGATTCATTTTCACCCCACGAAGCAGGAGTGTTAAGAAATCAAACGGAAGTTGCAGTCTTATGGCCACAACGCTGATGACTATAAAGGAAACTTTATGCTAAGGCAGCCTACTAAACACAGGGATACTTTTGCAAATCAGTATACAAATAGGCAAGTTTTAGACATTTTTAAAGATAAAAAAAATAAAAACAAATGGCAAATTAAAACTAAAACATACCTGTCTTTACAAAAATGTGTAAAATTGCAGATCTGCGCTGTCCGATAAAAGGTTACAAGCCCTGCCATCTTCCATCCGTGTGAGTACACTCCACATCAGACGCAGTTCATCCCGCTACGGGAGCAAGTGGTGGAGCGTGAGCTTTTCACATTGAATTTATATCTGCTAGGGATAGAGGGAGGAGAAAATCAATAAGTCGCTCAGTCTACTACCGCTCCCAATATAATTTAACTATGACCGGTGAAAGAATCTAATTTTAAAAAGCTAGAAATGAAAAATCTGCAGCTCTGACTTCCTTCAGATGGTCTTGCCTTTCACCTCTCCAGCACCTCCTGTGTTTTAAGAATGATCTCAGCCTCAGGCAAACAGAATAAAAGAAAACTTTCCAAGTTACAGCTTACACTTCTCAGTGGCAGCAGGCACTCGGCTTGCCTGTGCAAAAGTGAAGAAGGTAAATCCTCCTGGAACGGCTTAGCCCCACACTCCTCATGTAAAAACCCAATGGTAGTGCTTTTGGTCCTTCCAAAATCACTCCCTCTTCACAGACAGCACCTGTCCTTATATTCCACGATTCTGCACCTCCCATTTATCCTCCTTATGCCATCTTACTTGTCCCACTGACTTCTTCAAAACACCCTGAGCACGGCAACTGTTTTACACCATTTTCCCCATCAACACCATGCAGTATTTCCTTTTAGGAGCATTTCCACCCCAGTCGAAGTGTCAGCCATACTGAAGATGTCAGTCACGATACTCCCGTGTAGGCTGTAAAAGCAGACCAGGTGCCACAAGCCCCAGGCCTTTGGCTACCCCTCCACATCACCTCGGCAAGAAGAATACTGAGAACAGGCTGAAATATTTTCCAGTACAAAAGAGCACACAAACTTCCTGGTCTCAAAGAGCAGGGATTTTCTAGGTGCTGAAGGATGCAAGGGCCACCTATACTGATACAACTGTCCACGGATTACAACCTACTCCTGTTAACTTTTCCTTTTAAATCCTTCCCTTTCCTATCCCTTTTGTTAAATCCCATGGATTCTTGCAGTTGAGTCGCCCTGTGACTCAGGTGAATAAATGGGTTTGTTCTACTGAAGAACCCGCTTACTTACCACAAAAGATGCATTAAAAATTTACACTATAGATCCTCCCCCTACCAGAGTGCGGCAGAATCAGAAACGGAACCCACGGTTGCACCTGGACTCCACAAACTTACCATTCCCTGTGTCTCCCTAGAGAAGGACAAAGATGGAGCTACCGGAACAGAACGAATATGCCTTATCCTAAACTGCCCTTCGCCGAGTTTAAAACAGAAAAGGTTAATGTGGAAGAGGAGAAAGTGGAAGAATAGTGGTGGAAGTTCTACAGGCTGAAGGTACATAGAATCATAGGAGGGTTTGGGTCATAAGGGACCTTAAAATGCCACCTAGTCCAAACCCCTGCCACGGCAGGGACGTCTTTCACTAAATCGGGTTACTCAAAGCCCTGTCCAACTGGAGTTCCAACACTTCCGATGGTGGCGCATCCACCACTTCCTTGGCAGCCTTTTCCAGTGCCTCACCACCCTCACCAGTGAGGAATTTCTTCCTTTGCTTACATAAAGATTCTAAGAGGAAATGCTATCTGTAAAAATTCCACCTGGCGCTCAGGGATAGACTGCAGCTTGCAAGCTGAGCTGATGCACAAAAATTATTTAAGAGAGCTTAAAATCTACTCAGATTTGGTTTGAGCCCATCAGACTGCCACAGTGGATTTTGGGAACCGACGGTAGGCTACAGAACACCCTTTCAGAAACTCTAAACTTGAGGAAATGCCTGCAAAAAATCTCGGGGAGGGAAAAAAACATTTTCGAAAAGGAAAAGATGGGACAAGAAATACACTTGGTGTCTGTACAAAGACTGCCCTGGAGCCAGCGTTCGCAGCGCCATGGCCAAAGGATACCGCCTCGTTAGGCACGCCTGGTGTTCACGCGTAACTCACTACACCCTGCGGTCAAGAGGAGTTAAGAAGCGTATCTAGCACTAGCATGCTCTTTTACACAATTCTCAGCACCCTGCAAAAGTGTGTCGCTGATCCAAGTGTCCTGTAGAGGGTAATTAAACTTCCTCTGTCGAGATCTCTAAAACCCTAATCATTATCTTTTAATTTTGGTGCTGAGAAGCAGTCGATAGGTCACGTCCGATTTCATAGCTAAATGCCAGCTTGCCTGGAAGTATTCGATCATTTTGGCAAGCTATCAGCCCGCAGCCAGTCGTGTCTACTAAGACCTTAAAGCAGGTTTCCAAACACACGTCTCTTCTACCCTGAGTACTTAAAGTAGGTTTGTAAACATTTCACTGCTATCGGTGAAATAAATTCTAAGTCCGTTGAAGTGGTCCCCAGGCCACACCGCCCCTGCAAAGATGCTGAAGTTTTGTTTATAAATCCCAAGTGTTCTCCAAGACTGAAGCTCGGTGGCTGAGGATCTCCTTGTTCTGTAAAAGACAAATGTTAAGACGAACATTTAACCATCTGTCCATAATGTGCCAGGGTGCGTTACGTCATTAAGGTGGTGTTTCGGTCACTGCACCTTGACAAGGCAGGAGGGAAAATGAATTTCATAGCCCCAACGCTGCTCTTCACCTTAGCCCAGACACTTGGTGGATGTACCTATTTACACAAACGGTCACACCAACATTCGATGGTTAGTAACAAAATATTTAATGATTTAAGGAGAGAATAATTGTTTTTCTTCCAGGTCTAGAAGGTACCTCACTGGCTTTTCATCAGCGTTGGATTTGCTGCAAAACATCCCCCAAACTTTGACTATATTTTCTTAGCTCAGGGTCAAACACCACAGAAATCATTCAATGTGGAAATATTCGCTGAAGATCAAGGCCTTTTCATGCCTAGTCATCAATAATGTGCACTTTATGTGTACAATTGATTTTTATTTTCTACTGTATTTGTCTGACCCACGATGGCAGGCTAGATAACTAGAGGCACAAACATCAGTGATGTGTCCTACAGGCTTTCAGGGTAACGTGGACTCACCACCAGAGTTTTCTTTCATAGAGGACTTAGGATCACAAATTATAAACTGCAATAATGAGAAACGTGGACAATCATACTACTCAATATTGTCTCCAGGACCACCGGCTCCAGCAGTTCTGCGTCTGAAGGCAGAGCAGAGAATACCATATCGAGACCAAGGCACATGCTCTTCCTGGTTATATGTTTTCTGTGCCGGCTTACAGATTCACTTCTGGTTGCCCAGATATACATGCAAATCAGTAGGTGTTCAGAAATTTCTATTTCTGCTTTCTTAAGTAAAATCTCTGAAGATGCCCTGGCATTCATCCAAAAAGTTTGAGGTGGTTTTTTTGGACACTAATCAGCTATCTTTAAGCTTTCATTCCTCCCTCTCTGCCCTGTTCTTTGTTGCTTTTTTTTGTCTTTCTCCATCTCTCTTGGTCCAGCTCCCTGCCCCTAATTTTTTTCCCCTTCCTCTCTCCCTCCTGCCTCTTTCTCCATCTCTCAGGCTCCCTGTCCCCATTTTCTCTCTTGCTCTCCCGTTCCCTGTCTCATGCTTTCCCACCTCACCCAGCTGTCCAGCAGCTGCCACTCTTCTGTCTTCTAGTGTCCCA